CCTTCAGGGGCAGAAAGTGATGGGAGGGAGATCCTTAGAAAGAATTCAGGTCCCAATAGTGATCGCAAAAGCCTAATTCTCTCTTGAGCGTTCTCCCGTTAGCCTGAGTCTCAAGCGACTCTGAAAAATCAGTGGGAATCAGGCAATTTTGCCATCAGTATCAAAAAATGATGGGTTATTGACAAAAACTCGCAACTTGGGGAGCGGGAATCGATCTCAGACCTCATTTTGGGCACTCGCCTGACTGTGCTGAGCTCTGAAGACTTTTTTCCATAACTCAGCCTTCCTTTGATATTCTTTGAGTATGGCAAAGACACGTGACAGTGACTACAATTTTCGTAAACCTAGGCTAGTCGGGCGCCTATTGCTCATTCATGGGAAGCCCTATTGGTCGAGGGAGAATCCGATCCGTGAATCTTGTCGAAGATACCACCTCTGGCTGCCAAGACAGCTTTCTTTATTGCGTGAGAGAAAGAGCATGCAAATCACTTTCCATACCTTTTTATCATGAAGGCGTGTGAATTCACCGTATTCGATTGGTATCCTCTCACCAAGCTTTTCTGCAGCACACCTAGATATCAAAGTGTGTTTGTTGAAGGCTAAACCGAACAGTGCCAGCAATCTTATCTTTGGGTGACTTACCAAAGTTCACCGACATTTGCCTGGACCGGAGCTAGTATGGTGCCTGCATGGCCTTTAGGTTTCGCAATTATCGCCAAATTTCCAACGATACGCAGAGTACAGGAGACCAGAGCGTACAAGGCTGAATTTTCCGTGAGATATAAAAATAGGAGTGAGAAGTATATATAGTGAACTCATAGACAGCTCTAACTTTCTCAACGGGATCATATTTTCACCAGAGCGAAGTTAGGACAATGAGAAGAGGATTCTTGCTATTTCTTGCGTGGGTCGTGGACCAAAGTCTTTGCCTCCCATACTAGATTTTTAAAATTGTATTCCGTTACCTGCATAGGTAATTTTTTGGAAAAAAATCATTTCCAGGGGAAAATTCACTTTCCTCAATGCTCGGCAATTCGACTCGAGCTTCTTGTCCCCCCTCTACTTTTTGATTACTATTTTGTCGAAGTGAAGCTGGCTTTACGGAAAGCGCTTCATTCTTTGTTTCACGCGCCAGAAGTTGGTCCCAAGCCTCCGGTACCACGCTAGTCGTTAGAGGCTCGGTCGGGCCATACCGTTTTATGAAGTTCTTTATTTGGCTGAGGCCCTTCGTTCTAGGAGGATGGTTCGCGAGAGCACATCATGCCTTTTTCATAGGAATTCACAGGAACTGTGTCTGGTCGCTGGAGTGAGAAGGTCGTATTTGGCGTGTTCCGGTTTTGACTGCCGCTGATATAATAATCCACAGCAAGCGGCCCTTCCACTGGACGGCACCTTGTCGGGAGAAGTGGAGAACCTCTCTAGGAGACGGTACGAAATGTAAAGTTTGGAAACATAATAACAATGAGGGGATGACAGGAAGATGTTGGGGGCGAGGATGGTATTTTGCCAAAATTTATTCCAATGACAGGCACTATCCTGCCCGTCGCCGGTGATATTGATTACTTGGCGCATCAGACCTTCAACTTTTTATGTGATAATTTTCATTTCATTCATATAACACCAAAATCACAACAAGTAAGAACTAACCAAAAAGCAACAGCAAAAGACGAGGCATTGTTTTGAAATAGAGGAAAGTTCTATTGAATCGATGGGGCGTTGAGGTGATTTATTGATCAATTATATCGACCACCAAGCTGCGAGATATCTATAAGATCGTGAGACTTCAGGCACTTCCTTGCTCTGATCAAGCGCAGTTCGCCCGTCCTAGTATTTTCACGAGCTTTCGGGCCAGTATCTCGGATGAACTTAACGTTTAAGAACTGCCGTGCATAACCACTGCTAATTGGAAGCTGCAAACCAGTTTATAATGACAGAGACGATTAGCTGTCTAACGATTGTAGGTGGCAACTCGGCATTGGGGGCCTGGGATGGAGACACTTTGCGTATTCTCGAATACTTCCCCATCGATTCGTGTCAATGCTTAAACAAAGAAGTGGGCCAGCTCAGTCGCCTGCGACTTTAGACCGGAATCACTTCGTGGCTTTACAACTTTTCACAGATCTTTACTTGATGGCTCGACACCTCAGTAAGAACCCCTCTCGTAAATAAGTTGATCCTTAGAAGACGGAAGGGGCATTTCACACTTTTGCTTACTGTTATTTCATAATGATTACCCTTGAAACGGCGTTGGGAGCCTTGTCTTTTGCTGTGTTTTTTGAGGTTTTCGAAAGTTCCAAGAATTGGAAGAAACTGGGCGCTATTCGGCGTACCAATAGAGGGGGCTTTTTGCACTTTTACTAGATTTTTTTGCTAGGTCATAATAACTAACGGGTCTCACTTTGGTGATACCCGGAAACTGTCATGATGCTGCGAAATGGTGCAACTGAGCCCCCTTGGTTATACAAGTTTACGCTCTTCACGAGTTATCTGCACAAATATTCAGTCCCATCAAACGGAACTGCGCCAACAGCGTCACCATTTCCATGTTTTTTCTTGGAGCGAGAGAGGCATCCTGCCCTTGCAGACTCCCACGTCCTTAGAGATACTTGGAGAAATCCCGAGCATTTGCAGCGCCCGTGTTGCATGATCGAGAAGAACAAGTGGGAGAGAATTCCAGCCGTTCATCCTGCCTTGCTCGTCCCTAGTCCCTCCTGTCATGGCCATGGAAGGCAGGATGGGATGAGATATTGACCATATACAGTCATGATCCCTGCGATGTGGTCATGTGACGGGACAAGGATAGGATCGCAGCCAGGACAGCCCCTTTTGCCAGTGACTGCGGACATGCGCTCCAGTCCATGTCACGTAAAACGCTCACCCGTTTGCAGAGATGCTGACTGTACCTAGCTCGGCCGTCGAACCTGCTGGGATTTTCTGAATACTTCACACGGAAAGGGAAACACTTTTTACCCATGCCGATATGTGTCCATTTTCAGAAGGGCTGACTGGTGTGTTCCCCATGTGTGGGGGGAGCGACGTTTTCCTCGTAAACTTGACCATCGCGTCAGGTATACTCGAAATCCCTGAGATCGGGTAGGCGGAGCATTCGAACACTGTAAGGAACTGGTTACTTGTGGAATATTCCAGTCTGGGACAACTTCAATCTTGT